TATGCACATACATACACTCACTGACTTATACTGCATTCATCATTTCTTCCATCCATTCATTAATTCATGTATATATATATATATATATATATATATATATATATATATGTGTGTGTGTGTGTGTGTGTATAAAGAGAGAGAGAGAGAGAGAGAGAGAGAAAGAAAGAGAGAGAGAGTGAACGTGCAATTAACTAATAAGAGTAAGAAAATACGTAAAGCTAATTAGCATATTGCTATTTGTTTGATCCTAGATTGTTAAACAATATGTAGCTCATGCGATTCGTGCTTTCCTCCACATAAGTGCATAGAATGAATTTTTTTTTAAATTTTCATTTGTTTTATATAGAGGTTGGGACATTTCCATATTTAACTTTTTTTTATGGAAGAGCGTGTCGTCTTAATATGAGTATGGTTGATGGGGTCTATCTGCATTCGAACGCGGTCACGTTAGCGCAAGGGTCTTTTCCATCTTAATTCTATACAGCCTCTATACAAATTCTATGAAAATTTTTTAGCCTTTTGTGAGCTTTTGTGTAGTAATCTGTCTGTTCGTTATTTAATCAATGAATCAAGTTTTTGAAAAAATTTAATAACATTTGAGATAACATTCGTTATTTAATCAATGATTCAAGTTTTTGAAAATATGTAATAACATTTGAGATAACATTCGTTATTTAATCATGAGTCATTCAAGTTTTTGAAAAAAATGTAATAACATTTAAGACAACATTCGTTATTTAATCAATGAGCCATTCAAGTTTATGAAAAAATTTAATTATCAATTGTTCTATAAATAACGATTAATTTTTTTTGTATGAATAACAGTAAACACATCCAACTTATTCAGTAACATCACCTTACATTACATTCGAGACACATCTCTGGAATGTATTATAAATATTGATCGAGTTGGCATTGTTAACAAACGACATTAATAAACTTATAAAAAAAATGACATCAATAAACTTATTTCATGTTTTATTGTTATTTCTTCTTATTATTTTTCGTAAAAAAAACAATTTTGTATCATGCATTTCAATTATTGTTGATAGATGAAGAACAATGGGTATCATGATACATAAAAAAGTACTGATTCAGCGGTATTCAAAATACAAAAAATGAAAAAAATGTACGATGGTAGATTTATTATTTGAGAAGTTTTCTCAAAAAAATATTTTATGTTAACACAGAGATGTCTTTTATTTTCTAACTCGGCAAAAAGATAAAGACAAAATTGACCGATAAAAAGTTCTAGGGTGTTACGTATCGTCCATATTTAACTAATAATCAATGAAAATAGTTTGGCGGATGTACTATAGTTCAATTATAGACTAGTTAATACCTCGATGATAGGCCTAGTAATTTTTTAAATTACTAATAAGTCACACTTTTTTTACAAGTTCATCATGTTTTTGTGCAAACATTTCAAATTTTTTAGATCACTATAATGGATGAAGGTAAAATTGATGAAAATTTAACAGCGTGTAACATATACAACTTATAAATACCGCAACTTTATAACTCTTAATCATGAATTTATATGGATTTTTAGATTTTTATTAAAGATTAATCTTATATAACCACTACCTATCTTCATAATAAGGCATGATCTTTGGACATGCACATGCAAAATAACGTCACAGCGGTAAATTTTATTTTTAATTTTTTTTTTCAAAAAATTAAACCTAAAAAACGGTTTCAGATTCCAAGGCTCACTCACCATGAAAAATTATTTACAATCAACATTTATTCGCATTCATTATCACCATTCTTTTAAATGGCTAAACATTTCACATGAGATTTAACTACGTTAGAAACACATATAAAACATTGAACGAGGTTTCAATGGCACTGGATTTTTTCATTGTTGATGATATTAGAAATGCCATCACACACACGCTCCAGCCAGAGGAATTGAGAATAATTTTTAAAGATAATTAAAATAAATGTAAGTTTATGACAGCAAATGAAACAATAACACTACTACTATTACTTTTACTACTACTACTACTACTAATACTACTAATACTATTACTACTACTATTACTACTACTATTACCACTATTACTACTATTACTACCACTACTACTACTACTACTACTATTACCACTACTATTACTACTATTACTACTACTACTACTACTACTACTATTACTATTACTATTACTACTACTACTACTACTACTACTACTATTACTACTACTATTACCACTACTATTACTACTATTACTACTAATACTATTACCACTACTATTACTACTATTACTACTACTACTACTACTATTACTACTACTATTACCACTGCTATTACTACTACTATTACTACTATTACTACTACTACTACTACTACTACTACTACTACTACTACTACTACTATTACTACAACTATTACCACTGCTATTACTACTACTATTACTACTATTACTACTACTACTACCACTACTACTACTACTACTACTACTACTACTAAAAAGAAGAAAAAGAAGAAGGAGAAAATGATGATGACGATGATCATAATACAAAACAATAATAATAATAATAAGCCTCAAGTTTAAATACATTGACATTCTCAATGTAGAAAAATTACAAAAAATATGCAAAGCAATTTCGATTTTTCCTTATTATTACTGCTATTACTGCACTAAAGTGTTTGTTAACGATTTCTTCAAGCTTAAATGGAAAATTAATAAACTTTGATTATTATATACTTTCTCTACCCCTCTCTCTCTCTTTCTTACTTTTTCTTTCTCTCTCGCTTTATCTCTCTCTCTTGCTTTATACATACATATATATATATATATATATATATATATATATATATATATATATATATATATATATATGTATGGATGTTTCTTGGGGTAACCAATGTAAACATGGGTAAACATAAAAATTCAAACCAAATACACACAAACACGTGTGTGTTTGCGCGTTTATGTGTCAGGTGAATCTACGATATATATATATATATATATATATATATATATATATATATATATATTTATTTATTGAAAAAAATAAAAAAAAATTGACACTTGAAAAAAATTTGTTTTGCCTGTCTTTGAAGTTGTTTTATTTTTCAAAGAAAGCAAACGCCAATTTTATTTTTTGATATGTTGTTAAGGTATAAAAGCACTATAGAAACAAATTTTAAAAATTAAAAAACGTTTGGTTCTTCATAGTTAAAAATGGCGCCAAACAAAAAAAGTTTTTCATTTTTTTGACATTTTGAGCTTCGATAGCTCAAAAAATTCAATACAGATTTAACGAAATTTTGTGATTTATTTATGACTATAAGGTACTTCTAAAATAACAAAAAATATTTATTTATTTTGCGATAGATTTTGAGCTACGCTGTTTTGAAATCGGTGAAATTTTCAAAAAATTCATTTTTTTCTAGATTTTTTGTTCAAAATATCCTTTGATTCGAGACAATAACATTTATTTTTTTTGTTATTACATTGTTTCACTGATATGCACAAAAAATTTCTTGAACTAGCCAACAAGATATGTTGGCTAGTTCAAGAGATATAGCGTTCTACGTAGGTACAAGTTTTGAAAAAAATCGCTCAAAAATTTGAGGATGCTGTCACAAAAATCTTCATAACTTGAAAAATAATTGAAATTTTTTTATAAAAATTTTATTTTGTCGTTGAAATACATTGAGGTACTTACTGTTCAAATTTTAAAAAAATCGGAGATGGTCCGGCGTGGACCATGGTTCAAGTTGACAGAGAATGACCCACATATATATATATTGCTGGATGGTTTGAAAATATTAGCCCAGTTCTTTTTGATTGGTTGCCTGTTTGGAAGAGAATTATTTTTAGAATTTGCGTTCTGATGTTTAGGTGTTTGAATGGATTGACGCCGCAGTGCCCCTCTGAAATGTTACCTGATAGATCGTTTGTTAATCAAAAAGCTGGTCTAAGATCCGACGAAGAAAATTTGCTGGTGGTCCCCGTTTCGAAATTAAAGATTGCATCGCGTACCTTTGCAATGTGTGGACCAATTTTTTAAGACGATCTGGTTAAACCCTTCCCCAATTC